AGTTCCCTGTTTAGTTTTAGATTTTCTTGTTTAGTTTAAGAGTTCCCTGTTTAGTTTTAGATTTCCATGTTTAGTTTTAGAGTTCCCTGTTTAGTTTTAGAGGTTCCTGTTTAATTTTAGAGGTTCCTGCCTGTTTAGTTTAAGAGTTCCCTGTTTAGTTTTAGATTTTCATGTTTAGTTTTAGAGTTCCCTGTTTAGTTTTAGAGGTTCCTGTTTAATTTAAGAAGTTCCTGTTTAGTTTTAGATTTTCATGTTTAGTTTTAGAGTTCCCTGTTTAGTTTTAGAGGTTCCTGTTAAATTTTAAAGGTTCCTGTTTAGTTTTAGAGTTCCCGTTTAGTTTTAGATGTTCATGTTTAGTTTGAGAGTTCCCTGTTTAGTTTTAGAGGTTCCTGTTTAATTTTAGAAGTTCCTTTTTAGTTTTAGAGTTCCCTGTTAAGTTTTTGATTTTCATGTTTAGTTTTAGAGTTCACTGTTTAGTCTTGGAGGTTTCTGTTTAGTTTTAGAGGTTCCTGTTTAGTTTTAGATTTTCATGTTTAGTTTTATAGTTCCCTGTTTAGTTTTAGAGGTTCCTGTTTAGTTTTAGAGTTTACTGTTTAGTTTTAGAGCTTCATATTTAGTTTTAAAGTTCACTGTTTAGTTTTAGAGGTTTCTGTTTAGGTTCAGAGTTCACTGTTTAGTTTTAGAGGTTCCTGTTTAGTTTTAGAGGTTTCTTTTTAGTTTTAGTATTCCCTGTTTAGTTTTAGAAGTTTCTGTTTAGGTTAAGAGTTCACTGTTTAGTTTTAGAGGTTCCTGTTTAGTTTTAGAGGTTTCCTTTTAGTTTTAGTGCTCCCTGTTTAATTTTAGAGGTTTTTGTTTAGGTTAAGAGTTCACTGTTTAGTTTTAGAGGTTTCTGTTTAGTTTTAGAGGTTTCTTTTTAGTTTTAGTGTTCCCTGTTTAGTTTAAGAGCTTCATATTTTAAGAGGTTCCTCTTTAGTTTTAAAGGTTCCTGTTTAGTTTTAGAGGTTCCTATTTTGTTTTAGGGTTCCCTGTTTAGTTTTAGAGATCCCTGTTTAGTTTTAGAGTTCCCTGTTTAGTTTTAGAGGTTCCTCTTTAGTTTTAGAGTTCCCTGTTTAGTTTTAGAGGTTCGTAGATTTTCCTGGAATCCACTACTCTATTCTTCAAGCAATCTTCGAAACATGTTTGTTTTTGTTCTGAAAAGTACTTATACATGTGTTACTTTTCTCTCTTTCCCCAGATAGGCATTTTTACAAAGAATATTGTGTTGAGATTTCTAGTAAGATGTTTGTCGTTTACAACGTAAAATGTAGATTCATTTGGTAAAATGTTTCCATTCTGAGTTTCAACATCAATCTCTTTGCTTAAACTGTCTCATGACTCAATTTTCATACTCTTCCCCCACTTTTTTAATATGAAAATCCGTATCTGCGATAATTTTATAACCTTTGAAGTTCCAAGTTTGAAATTGGTTCAGATGATCTGGAAACCATGGAAACGTGTGAAATTAACAGAACATAGAAATTTAGAAAATCCCACAAGCTAGGGCCGTTTGACTCGGATAAGTAAAAAATAAATCAAGCCAACCGCCACAATGATTTCTTAATTAGGAAAGAAACTAAAGCAAAATGAGTTTATTACGCAATTTATGTTGTATACCAGGTTTTGATAGTTGTCCTTTGAATTAATCATAAGGTTGCTTATTGCCTAATAATGTTTCAATAGGCAATCACTTTTTGTTCTTCAAATCGTGCTTCCCTTATCCTTTCAAACCGACTAAGAGCAGTGAGGGATCTTTTTCGTGCCAGCACCTACTGCGACACGGGGCCTCGGTTTATACGGTCTCATCCGAAGGACCGGTCTCCACGCCCCGCAGTGGGATTCGAACCCGCGACGTAAGGATTGACTCCTTACTTTGCGACTCTAGAGCAGACGCTCTAACCACTGCGCCACACTGCTCAAAGGCCCTGAGTGGCGAGCAAAGGACAAAATTTGTAGCCCTCCACCGGCAAGTGGTGGCGTCTCCATATGAGTAAAAAAATCTCGAGAGGGACGTTAAACAACATACAAATCAATAAAATTTAAAAAAAAAAACAAACCGACTAAAAGCTCATTTTTACGCATTCGAATTATTTTATTGAGACCCAAAGAAAGAAGAAAAGGAGAGAAAAACTTATTTGTCCATAGCCATAGCTTCATTTGTTTTATAAATTGTACCCTTCGTAGAGTATGCTCTTTCGTATCGAATCAACATGGGAAGATCTCCATATTTAGGAGATAATGGTTTAAAGCTACATAAAGAACGTCTTTTTCAAATAAACAAACCGAAAAACAAATCTTATAGACTCGATGGTTAGTTTTAATTATTTCGAGTTCAAAGGGATATACCGAATCAGCTTAGGAATGTTTGTTTATTGTTTAACATATCTCTCCAGAATTTTTCAATCATATCGAGACACCACCGCTTGCTGGTAAAGGGTCCTCGGTTTATACGTTCTCATTCGAAGGACCGAACACGAATGACGTAAGGATCAGTTCTTCCTCCGCGACTCTAGACGTTCTAATGCCCTGTTCACACGGAGAGTTTAATTCGAATTAAACGTAAGTTTACTGCGAATTAGCTTCGCGTAGCGTTCACACGGAGAATTTAATGCGAATTAGTTTACTTCGCATTAGTTTACTGCGCATTAAATTACTTCGCATTAGCTCCGTGTGAACGCCAAGCGAAGCTAATTCGAATTAAATTTTGGGGCATGCGTAATGGCTAAATTAAGTCAAATGCGTCATGTCGGTGGTCAGCTTGAAGTGCTTGTGCTATTTTTGAGTGAAAATCTAAGAAAAATGTGTTTATCACTAAATTATGTCTCCAGACACTGTGACATTATGTCAAATGCATCTGCTTCTGCATAAGGTGACGTGATTTGCAAATGACGTCATAATAGCCTTCCTCACGCCTGACTGTCGAAGTAAAATTTTAATTCGCATTAGTTTACTTCGCATTAGTTGTTGTGTGAACGCAATTTAATTCGCATTAGTTTGATTCGCATTAGTTTACTTCGCATTAATTTACTGCGAATTGAATTCTCCGTGTGAACAGGGCATAAGCACTGCACCACTCGGGCTGCTCAACTTAAGCTTGAAAACTAACATTGTTAAATGATAACGTCGCAGATACTGTAAACCAACTTTTATTCGAGACGACTTTATTTCGCGATTTACCGGGAGTAAACTAGTTCGCGACGATTAATTTTCGCGATCAAGCCGTTTTTGGAACTGTTTTTAATAGAAAAAAACTTTAATAAGTTTAAAATGAGAAATATTCGCGATGACGAGGCTCTCGCGAACCTCGCGAAAATTTCTCGCACGCGAATAAAAGTTGGTTTACAGTATATAAAAATGTTGAATTGAAGGTCACAGCAAGAGTTTTCTTTTCCTGTAGAAGTTTATTATTTTTAAATGGTTGATGGGAATACAAAGAAGGTCTGTAAATAACAGAACACAATTGCTGGCCATGGGAATTCTGATAGAATGTTGGAAGACTAGATCTTCAAAAATTGTGTAGATAATGTCTATCAGAGACTCGAGCATCTTTTAAATACCTGTTTATACTAGTAATAGTATCAGCCTCAGAGTACTCAGTACTCCTCAATGCAATCAGAGTTTTATTTCAACAAAATAATTTTGTAAATGACCAATGACACGGTGAGAAAATTCATGAGTTACATTTGCATCGAAAAAGTCAATATCACTATGATGTCAAAATGATCTGATAACTGATATGTAGAGTTTTATTTTTTTTTTTTTTTTTGATTTTTTTTTTAATTAATTGACAAAATGTAATGATAACGAACAGTAATTATTCTCAAAAGTCCATTTTAAAAAATACAAATTATATTCAGAGCCCACGGGGTCCTCTCAAAACAAAGATTGGATCAGATATCGAGAAGGAGTAACATTCCCTCACCAATCAGTTACATCTTCCGTGTATTATCATACTTGTTCTATGTATAATTTCATTATTATTGAAAGTATCACATGTTCTCACGCTGGGATGTTCTCATTATATCCTGTATTCTCATCAATGTTGCAGTTCGTAACTCATGGTACGGATATTGTCTGAGGGATTGTTGGTATGAGAATAGAGCAGAATGAATGTCCCCTGTGATCTGTTGACAGATCCCCAGAATCTGCCATGATATGCCTTTGAGTTTTTCAGGCAGATATACCCCCTGGTCAAAGTGTACTAGAGATTTTAGTTTAAGTAGAGCCCTTTGCGCACGCACGGTATCAGTGTGCATGGAGCACAAAATCTCTAGCATGTATACCAGTGTAAACAAGGGAATGGCCAGAATAATATTTCCATTTTGTAAAACAGACTGTTCTGGTATTAGTTCATGCAAGTAACAGATTTCAGGTGGAAGATCGATGTCGTCTGCTGTAGCCTGCCTCAGTTTTGTAGACAAAGACTGTCCCCCTATGGCCTCACTATATTTAACTGGGTCTATAATCCTATATAACACATGTGGCTGTGATAATTTGACTTCCATCATCTCATTAACAAAAAGGGCTTTTAAGTATCTAGCTGTCCGATAATAATACATGACTAAGTACAATGTATCAGAAATACATCCAAACTTGGCTGCTAAACTCAGCATGTGACAGATCTTTTTGTCAACTTTATACATCAGTTTGTTGGCAACTGTGTTATAACACCTGTTTAACAATAAAAATGAAATTGTTTGAAGTACATTGACTGTAGATTTCTGTAGCAAGACAAATTGATACTGTGTCAAGCGTAATCCTATCAAATATTCTATGATGCTTAGACACTTAATGCAACGACGTAGATCCATAACGAGCACTAAATGCGTTTTACTTATCACATTGAAAAGTTCAAAATCAAGCTGATGCTCTGAGACGAGATTGTATTCATGGATGCAGATAGATTGTCTAGGATTACGGAGGACATTTATAAGATAGGGCCTGATGGTGGGACTGTGAAGCAGGCAAGCTATTCCATTCTCATATAATCCATAAAGTCTTAGAAATAAAATCTTCTGTGCTTCACCATGTATGTTGGTCACAAACATATTGTTTTCTGGAATGAAAAAATTAGGACAGACCCCCTCGTACACCCATTTAAGGAGGAGCTTGAAGCAGACCCAGAAAGCCTCCAGGAGATTTTGTGGACACCAGTGAGCTATTATGTTTTGTTGAATAACCCAGAAAACTGATGTCTTCATGTGATAGGAACACAGTAATTTATCCTGGTCACCCAAAGCGCTATGAATTATTTCTTTGAGGAAAATTTTAAGTAAACCATAGGTTAGGAATTGACAGTGGTTCATTGAATAAACAAGTTTTAGTTCTGCTAGAGAAAAGGAAATTCTCCATTCATCGTCTGCGTGCTTTCCTAATTTGTGTCCTATTGCTACTAAGTGACATCCATTTTTTACTATATTATGAAGAATATGAGATTGAGGCCAGATTTGACACCTGTCTATCCATGAGGAGGCAGATGGAGGCCAAAATTTGCACTCAAAACAGAGAGCAAAATCATATTCTTTGTCTCCTAGGTAGCCACTTTGGCAAGGTCCATGTTCAGTAAAATTTTTGGGGACTCCCAATGGACATGCGATCCGTCTATATTTAGAACTGGAGATATATACTTTGCCATTTATTCTGACAAAGAAGGTGGGAACCTCTGTTTGTATAGCCATCATTGGCCATGGCGCAAGCAATGTGAATCCAGGAGGACTCTCAGAGCAGTCACACAGAAAAAGCCATTTTCTGTTTATATTGAAACTCATTGCTTGATTTAAGTCCCAGACAACTTGATAGATGCTGAAACATTTCATCAAGTCCACATCAGATCCCTCAAGTCTGAATCCTTCTCTATAACTACCACTCCATATCAAATAATCCCCCCTTCCGAAGACGAGTTCATTCCTAACGATTTCTCGGATGTCCTCTACTTCTCTCCTTATGTTAATCTGTGTAGAAGTGCCCACTTTATGACATAGTCCAGCAAACACAGACTCTGACATGCGCTGGATACCAAATTTACTGATGGAAGTAAATAAATTAATTAATAGCATTTTTACAGCATGAATTAATTAATATTGCTACAGAATTACTTAATATTGCTACATAAAATTTAAAAAAAATGTATAAGAGAATTTGATTTTGAGTAAGCTGTAGAGCAAAAAGACCTTAGGGATTACCCGGAATCTGTATGTCTGTCCGTCCGTCTATTCGTTTTTACATTTCATATCTCGGGAACTGTAAATGGTAGAGATTTGATATTTCGCCCATTAATTGATTGATGCTGTGACTTTTGTAATATTTCAAGGTTACCGACCTCGTGACCCTTGAACTTGACCTTGACTTGCTTTTCAAAATAAGACATAGTGACGATATACAGCATATTTTTGACAATTAAAATTCCGGGGTTTTTTTATTATGTGCGCGGTTTGCCAAAAAAATATTATGAAAAATAAATTACAATCAATTTGACCTTGACCTTTGTCTTATAGTTAAAAAAAAACTAAGGACAGTTAATTTTAACATGTTGTTTTTGGCAGGAAAATGCTAGAAATACCATCATGCACCATTTCAATTCTTTTTTAAAGTTTTGATGGTTGGGGAATCTTATTTTATACTTATTTATGTATATATGATTGCCGGAATCTATAGCATTCCTACTATCTGTGGACGGTTTTATTTTCTTTAATTGCAGACAAATAAATGAACTATAATGCCAGTTGCAAATAAATAACATACTTCTGTCATGTTGTAAATTTTGTATTCACGGCCATCCGGTTAATTCAAAATTCACATGACACGTCTCCAAGAATTATTTGCATTTTTAAAAATGTTAGGAAGCAGGCTACACATTTATTCCTTTGAACATTAGTTATTATAACTCACCATTTTGTTGATTATATTATAGTCCTTGCTTGAACAAATATCAGTTTCATACTTATTGTATTAACTTTAATATGATAATTCTAATATTATGTCTATAAGATTTTTTTAATAATTACATGTAGATAAAAGTTTACTTACACCAGTGACAAAGAGTAGGAAGCCATTTTTCTGTTGAAATTTTTTTTTGTAATTTTCAGATTTATATATATTAAATATGAAACGGAGCAGTCACTGAGATATGACAATTAAAGTTCTTGTTTGCTTTATTATGTAAGTGTTACAGGAAAGAACCCATGCAATCGTCACAGGAAGGAAACATTTGCTGGGAAATATTTTAGCTGTCAAACCATGATTCTATCAAATCTACAATTACGAGGGGCGTTTATTAAATAATATCATTAGCTCGATTTCATACAACATAGAAATCATATGACATTAAGCTTGGCTTTTTCTTTGCATTTTTTTTTTATTATGGGAAGCTGGAAAACATTGGCTATTCGAGACACTGCATTAAAAAGAAATGGTCAAGAATCAGTAAACTAGAGTTGAATTAAACGCTTCATTAAAGCAGCTGTAAAACTTGTTAATATCCCTAACTAAAATATGTGAAATTTACAGCAACCAATTTCTGTTTCGTAGACACGTAAACAGGTGGATTTCAATAAACAGAAATTAAATAATGGGCATCAGAAATGAATACCGTCCTTGGCAACTAGTTCTTACAACAACCAATTCAATTCAATAGTATATTCTCGTAAACCGTACAACAGTATAGAGAAAATACAAACATAAATTATGTACAATACATATAATACAGCATGCGTGAGAAAAATAAAGCCAACAGTAAAAAATGACAGTTTCCTAAATTAAGCAGCCAACTCTCTCAATAATAGACCCAATAGATTACATAGTATAACTAGTTGAAATTTATTGTTTTAGATTAAATAATGTTCGGACTCAAAACTTTAGTATTTGTATGGTATACATTAACCTGGAGGGGTAACTCTCTTATTAACTATAGTAATGAATTTATAAAGGTTATTGATAACGGATACTTTTTTACATGAAAATAAATTTGAAAACTTGAAAGCACTTGGTCGAGTTGTATATGTTGATGGGATTAACAATTTTCTGCTATCATTTAGAGCTGGACACGACATAATATAATGGTATTCGTCTCCAATATCATTATTACATAGAGTACATAGTCTTTGGTTTGAGGGTATATTACTCCATCGGCCTATTTCTATGGGTAATTTATGATTACTGGTTCTAAGTCTTGCTAATGTAATTATAGTATTAGTTGACACATTGATATTTAAATATTGCCTAGATGTAAAATTACTATTAGTGAACAATTGATAAATTTTGCCTTTACTTGATGCATCACAATTTGAATTCCAGTTTTGTTTGAATTGATCAATGAGTGTTTGCTTAATTATATTTAACAACCATTTTTCATTTTCTACATTTTGAGACATCCAGACATAGTTCAAACCACATTCTTGTAAAATATTTTGTATACATTCAATCCATTTAGAACTACAATTAACATTGTTGTACATTGAATAGCTGTATAAAAAATTATATAAAATATGATATAATTTTTTTCTTTACATTTCAAAAGTTTTACCCAGAATTTTATCATTCTCATTTTAATGTTTATACTCAATGGATATCTACCAAGCTCACCATAAACCATATAATTTGGAGTAGATGTCTTAAGACGAAGTATAAGTTTACAAAATTTTAGATGAAGTTTCTCAATAATATTTACATTTTCAAATCCCCATATCTCACAACCATATAAAAGGATAGGGATAACCATTTTATCAAACATATCAATTTGACAATCAATGGACAAATTTAATTCTCGTGCTTTTTTTATTATGGCGTACATAACTCTTGTTGCTCTTTGCACACTATATTTTCTAGTACTATAAAATGATCCAGTTCTTGAAAAAAACACTCCTAAATATTTAAATTCTTTAACAATTTCAATCTCATTATTATTGTAAGTAAATACTACATTAGAAGATTGTCTGCCCTTACCAAACATTAAAATTTTTGTTTTATCAACATTCACTTGTAATTTCCATTTTTCACAATATTTTTGAAAACAATTGAGTTGATATTGGAGATCTTCCTTAGTTTCAGACATCAATACAGTATCATCTGCGTAGAGCATAATCATAATTCTTAAGTATACATCTAGCTTTTGTTCAATTTCTTCAGACAGATTTTTCAATCCAATAACATTTTTCTCCATTAAGAATTCTTCTAAATCATTTAGATACAATGCAAAGAGAAAAGGAGACAAATTTTCACCCTGGTGAACTCCGTTTTGACAAGGAAAATATTCAGAAAAATCATTGTTATGAGATATTCTAGACTTACAATCATTATACATATTAATAATAACTTTAAAGTATTTTCCCGTTATATGATATTTAACAAGCTTTTTCCACAGTCCTACTCGCCATACTTTATTAAATGCAGCTTTAAAATCAATAAAGGCACAATATAATTTCTTTTTCTTAAATAATGTCAGTTCTATCAATGAATGAAGTACAAACATGTTATCAATGGTAGAATAATTTGCCCTAAAGCCGCTCTGGTTTTCCTTAATAAGGTCAATATTATCCGCATATGTGGTCATTCTTCTACACAATACAGATGTAAAAACTTTTCCAAGACAACTTAACAACATTATAGGACGATTGTTTTGTGGATCAGTATAACTACCTTTTTTCTTATAGATTGGTTTTAAATTTCCAGCTAACCATGCCTCTGGGACAATACCTGTATCAAATACTAGATTAAACAATTTTACATACAGCGACACCATAACGTTAATAGATGACTTAATGTACTCATTTATAACAGTATCAGGTCCTGGAGATTTATTGTTTTTAATTGTCTTCATCACACTCAGAATTTCATCTGGGGTAATAGGGTCATTAATAAAGGAACTATCAGCAAACGATTCCACAATATGATTGTCTAGTTCGTCATCTGAACCTTCTGATTCGTGTTCATTTTCATTAACATTCTTAAAATAATTATAAAAATCTACAATATTTATGTTATGGTGCTCTTTAGGTCCTTTACCATTTACAATATTCCAATATTCTTTTGGGTTTGAACTTCTTAGTTTTTTAATTTTACGTTGCAATTTAGCTCTATAATCTTTGTATGCCTTATTTAGAGTAGATTTATACTTTCTTTGGGCATCTTCCAATTGTTGTTTGAAAATATTAGATCCATATAATTTGTATCTACGTTTATTTTTTCTACAAAATTTCCTTGCCTTGTAGCAATCATCGTTAAACCATTGTTTAGTTCTTTTATTTCTATCAGTATCAAAAGTGCGTGGGAAAAATGTACCAAATGTAGTTTTTGCTGAGGATAGTAATAGATTAGCCGTGCTATTAAACAGAAGATCTACATCGCTTTTATGAATATTATCAGGGTCTGATATTTTGTTGTCTAGAGTTTGCTCAATATTCAGCAGTTCTAGTGCACTTATGTTGGTACAGAATTCATTCGATTTTGTGGGATCCCACGATTTAATTCTTTCTGGTAAATTTCTTTGTGGCACATTTTCTAATTCATTTTCATCACATGTAATACAATTTAGATGACATGTCAGGGGCATATGAATATCCGAGTACAAACAATTAAAATCTAATACATCAAAATGTCTTACAAATTTAAAAAAATCTGCATTGCATATGAAATAGTCAACAACACTTGATCTTGTAGTTGTAAATTTCCCCCTTTCTTCATCTTTTGGTACTCTACCGTTCATTATATATAAACTATTTGCCTTACAAAAATTCAGTAGCTGATATGTACATTTGCGAAAATTCAACAAATTATCACTAATTACGTTTAATTGACTTTAAGACACAAAGCAAAATTGATAGAAATCATTTTGGGGGTAGTACACACTGTTTTAAAGAAATATTTGATAGTAAAAAAGTTTCATAATCAAATGTCACCCTATATTTTGAAAAATGAGTGAAAACGACAGTGTGTAGGAATATCTTAACAATTATTTGAATTTAAAACAGTCTTATCCACGTTTGTCGGAAATTCAGACAGTTAATGAAACCATTTTGCTTTAATCCCTCAAAACAAATTTACAATAAGATACACTTGACAAAACTGCCAAGGCCTAAAAAGAGCAAAGAATTGCAAGAGTACAAACAGGTTTAATATGCTATTTTTTTTTATTTATTAGCGATTTTATTATTCAAATTTATATCCAGGGATGAAGTTCAATTTCCGGAGGAGTCTAGAAGACAATTTTTTTGCAAAAAAAAATTGAATGATTTCTAATAGGAAGGAAACAGAATGAGAAATTCACTACATTAAATTTCATCATGACAGCGTCCAAAACCACAGGCCATGAAGAGTAAAGGAGTTTTGGGGATAAACAGAAAGTTAAGGTTTTGTCACACCAACAGAATTTACCAGATCTTTCAACCTTTGACTTGTTTCATATCCCAAACTTAAATAAATATTTTCCTGAAAGCAAAAAAAAACAAGTACAGCAAAATATAGAATCTGCCATATTCCAGGGTCCATCATTATAAAATATACTTAAGTCTGAGAATGCTCTCAAGTCTAAGAATTTTCTCAAATCCAAAATTCTCAGACTCAGCGGCCGTCATAAAAAAGTTGAGAAAAATAAAAATTCCTTAAACTCTTTAATTCTTTAATTCTCAGCTGAGTAATTCTCAAGAGTTGAGTTGAGAATTTTTTTTTTTATTCTCAAAGATTTATGACGGCGGACCCTAGCTGGGTCCGCCGTCATGTATGCAAAGGATCATACTCAAAAATATATTCTAAAAACATTTAGAAATTGAATTAAAATATCACGGACATGTGTTTTAAGTAAAAGACAATATTTTAGTTAAATCATTCAGACTAAATCATAGTTAGTTTTTCTGTTTCTTAACGTATTTTTCAAGTAAAATATCCAAGTATGAAACAGATGTGAGAGACTCTGTAGTATCTTTTATCTCCAGCTTACCAGGACATATTATATCGACATAAGAATGGAAATTACAATTGTTACGAGTAATTGACAATACATGTACGTCGTTGATATATCTAAATGTCGAGTTGAAGGCCACAGCAAGTGCTTTCTTATTTTCACACATAAGATTTTCTTAAGTTCTGCTTCATATGAATACAAAATTGTCATTTTTTAATTCAAGAATCTTTTTGATGTCGACTTCAGAGTACTTGTCTGTACTACCGAAATGTTTTTATAACAAAATAATTTTGCAAATGACCAATTACAAGGTAAGTAAATTTACAAGTTTCCATTTTCATTGAAAAAGCAGTCATTTTAATTCAAAAGCAGCTGTCAATGATATTGAAAACCCTAGACTTTTATTTATCCTAGGGAATTGTTGTGTATAAATTGAAAAGTGTTTAATCTGTTGATTTTAGTAAAATCTAGTGATTTCAAATTGTCCAAAAGTTTCTGGAAATTTTTAAGAATAAAAAAGGGATTTGAATTGATGACCCATATCACTGGTCTCGAAAAATTAATATAAACTGTAAGACCATTACAGGCACGTAGCATCGTTTAAGTTCACCTGAGCCAAAGGCTCAAATGAGCTTTTCTGATCACATTTTGTCTGTAGTCCGTCTGTTCGTCTATCCGTCTGTAAACTTTTCACATTTTCGACTTCTTCTAAAGAACCCCTAGGCCAATTTCAACCAAACTTGCCACAAAGCATCCTTGGGTGAAGGGGGGAGTCAAGTTTCAAACCTTATTTCACTACTACTGAATCATCTTTGAACTAGATCAATTATCATTTACAAGAAGAATCAAATTTAAGGCTTTATATATCACATGTTCTTTTTTTCAAATAGGAAGTCAAAATATGTTGGTCAATGGAAATCAAGTTTCAAAAGATAGAGAAGGTCGACAAAGTTTTGACCAAATACTTCTAATATATATATATATATATATATATATATATATATATATATATATATATATATATATATATATATATATATATAACCGGAAGTTTCTCAAAGAACTTTGTTCATCTCACGACCATTGTAAACTCTGATGCAATCAACACACGTAAAGAGGAAACCAACATTGACAGAAATAAACATTGGGAATCATATATCTCTTATAAATCGGTCGATTTGTAAACCACCTGTTTTAGGATTTTCTCATTTGGACTATCCATGAGAAAGGCATATACTCGTAGTATAAAAGATGAAGATAAAAGAGTGTAGATAAAGCTTACAAAAAAGTTAGTTTACTTAAGAAACCAAAATTCACTTTATAAGAGAAGTGTAAACCGGTACGTATTATTTTAGGTGAAAGCTACAATATACTGTTGCGGAGGGGGGCGGGAAAGTCACTTTGTATAACAAAGTCAGTTTTACAAAAAATTGTTAAAATCAGATTTATTACATAGGAAAGTAATTTTTTACAATTAGGTGTTAATCATATAATTAAAAATTACCATTACATGGATTTTGAAATGTAATTAATTAAATTACAATTACTTTGCAAATGTAATTAATTAAATTACAAATTACATTCATACACGTTTAAAAGTTAATAGTCATGTATATTCCTTTACATTTATGACAGATTATTTTACAACATTTTTTACAATAATATTATTCAAAGCTTCATACATTTTTCAAATACTGTGTGATAAAATATATTATTAATTTGAAGATTTTCCTGCCATGCTGAAGATTATTTCCACTGGGGTATTTGTGAGAAAAATGCATACATGTAGCTACTGACTTGTAGAAGGTTACAGATGATCTTACCATAGTTCATGTGTTTAAATTTTGGAATTATTTTTAAACTTTCCCGTAAACAAGTGATAGATTTATGCTAAATGTACTTTTGATGCTTTAATTTGCCTTTATATTTCCTTAGTTCAGCATCATAGGTTACCCTCAAACAGTGGGTATTTGACTTATTCTGTGTCATACTACACTTAAAGGTTTATCCTAACCAACCATTTTTTACAAAGGTGTTAATCATATAGCTGAAAAGTAAAAGATGGCAACGTGAATGAAAGCATCAATGATGCAATTTCTAAATAAAAAATGAACAAGTTTACTTCAGCATTAAACACAAGAGGCCCGTGGCCCACAACGCTCGTGTACCTTTGTCATCTATCCTTCCATTTTCAACAATCAGAGGTGATAAAAGAATTAGAAAGACTAAATGAAGAATATTTTATGGTTACAGAAGACAAGATTTGTAACAATATCGGCATTATTTGTAAATTTCATTATAATAACTAAATTGTATATTTAAATGCTTAAAAGTTTGTTTAATATATCACCTCTGGGAATCCAACTTACTAGTTTACTCAAACGTCATCTCTTATTTTGAAATTCTTCAAACAAGGTAAGTTTGAAAAACGTCCTCTACAAAGTGTATGATGAAGGATATAAAGAGAACGAACAGTATTCAATCTCAAAGTCCATTAAACAATATACAAAATAAGAGCAGAGCAAACACGGACCTCCGAAAAATCAGAGGTGGGATGATATTTCTTATCAGTTTTATAGTTCTTTAGATATCCTGGCACCTGACGGTCGCATTGAGATTTTCCGTTTTGCGTTACATCTATTCCGTTTCTGAACTAGAATCGCGCATTTTGTCTGACGACTTCTCCGTTTCCTTTGATCAACACGGAGATGTTTTTGCCTATATGCTTAAGGAAAGATGGATACAAACTTTTGTCGAAATGAATTGAAACAACTTGAGAAATGTTTACGTAAACATGAACAAATTTAACAGCTAGCCTAGTTCTTAATTTTTCGGTCAAAGTTTTACTATAATGATATGGAATTTGAAGTGACAAAAATTTGTGTATATTAATAAATTTGGTTGCAGATAATGCAGTAGGGAGAACATCATAGAAGGTTTTCAGTTTCTTGATATTACAGGAATTCATTATTTGCAAGATTTACAACAGATATAGGCCCACAATACATAATAACCGAGTCATTCATTTTTTGTTTGTATCACTTGTCCTAAATCCCATTATCCTGAAAGTAATCTTTGAATTCTTCGGACATGAACCGAGGATCATTGTCACTTCAAATGGTATGATGTTTGTTTTTGCTCTACTCCAATTTTGTTTTGCTTTATGGATTTTTGATCTTAAATACTGTTTGTAATCGCCATATATTTCGTTAGAAACTTCTACAGTGAAAGAGGAAAACACTTGCTTTGGCCTTAAATTCAACATTCAGATATACATAGGCATCTAAGATGTTTTATCAATTAACAGAAAAAAAATTCTGTGAGGGAGAGATCACTAATTTCTGAAATCCTCAATCAATCACCTCCCGTCAGAAGTTTTACACAAACCGGTAAAAAACTTTGCTTCATCAAGTGTCTAATTCTACCGCTGACTTGTCACATCTACTCGTTCTGGGCTGTTCTCAGTATATTTTGTATTCGCATCAGTGTACCAATTTGCATTCTTTGCTGTGTATTTGTGTTCACATGTTTCATAGACTGCTTGTATGAGTATAAGGCAGATCGTATGCTCCCTGTAATATGTTGACATATCCCGAGGATCTGCCATGATATGTTTGCGAGTCCTCCGGGTACATCCACCTCTTGGTGATGGTGGACTAGGTTCTGGAGATCATGTAGAGCTCTTTGTGTGCGTATTGGGTCGGTATGAATAGAAATCAAGATCTCTAGCATGTATAACAGTACAAATGGTGGAATATTCAGAGTATTTCCATCCTCTAATGCAGACTGTTCTGGTGTCAATTCCTTTATGTAACAGATGTTTTGGAAAAGGTGGATGTCGTCTGCTCGAGCCTGTCGAAGTTTTACAGACAGAGATTGTCCACCTACAGTCTGACTATAACTCTGCGGGTCGACGCTGTTGTGATATGTTACATGTGCCTTTGCTAATTTAACTTTTGTCATCTCTATAATAGATAGAGATTTCTTGTACCTAGATGTCTGGTAATAATACATGGCTATGTACAACATATCAGAAATACAACCAAGCTTGGCTGCTAATCTCAACATGTGACAGATCCTTCTGTCTTTTGTATACATCAGTTTGTTTGCACGTGTGAAATTCCCTCTTTTAAAGAGTAAAATTGCAGTTGTTTGAAGAACGGAAGTTGTAAGCCTCTGCAGCAAAATAAGCTGGTACTGTGACAGGGTTGAACCTATCAAGTGCTCTACTGTGCGTATACTTTTAATGAAATAAGGTAATTCAGATAAAATCAAAACATCGTGTGTGTATGTCTCGTTAAAAAGTTCCACATCAATCTCTGCCTCTGTAATGAAAGTGTATTCATTGGCACTGATAGACTGTCTTGGATTATAGAGGACATTTATAATATAAGGTCTGATTGAGGGACTGTGAAGCAGGCATGATATTCCATTTTTATATATTTCATAAAGTCTATAGAATAGAAACTTCTGTGTTTCACCGTGGATTTTACTCAGAAACATATTGTTTTCTGGAATGAAAAAATTGGGACAGACCCCCTCGTACACCCATTTGAGGAGAAGCTTAAAGCAGACCCAGAAACCCTCCAGAAGAGTATGTGGACACCAGTTAGGCACATTATTTTGTTGAATCGCCCAGAAAACTACCGTCTTCATGTGATAGGAACAAAGTAATTTATCGTGGGTCTCAAATCCACTGTTAATGGTTTCTTTGAGGAAAATTTTAAGCAAACCGTAAGTTAAGAATTGAGAGTGGTCCATGGAGTACACAAGCTTTTGTTCTGCTTGAGAAAAAGATATCCGCCATTCGTTGTCTCCATGGTTTCCTAGTTTGTGTCCGATAGCTACAAAGTGACATCCATTGCTGACTATATCATGGGCAATATGAGCCTGGGGTGAAGAATGACATCTGTCTATCCATGAGGAGGCAGAAGGAGGCCAATATTTACAATGATAGCAGGGGGCATAATCATATTCTGTGTTTCCTAGGTATCCACTTCCACATGGTCCATGTTGTGTCCAATCTTGAGGGAGGGGTGAACATGCGAATCGTCTGACTTTGGAACTGGAAATATAAAGATTGTCTTTTATTCTGACATAAATTGGCTTGATATCTATTCTGTCTTTTATCATTGACTGTAGTAAAGTAAATCCAGGAGGACTTTCTGAACTGTCACACAGAATGAGATCTTTTCTGTGTGTATCGTGATTCTGAGCTTGGTCTAAGTCCCAGACTACTTCAAAGTTGTTCAAAGAAAACATCACGTCCACATCTGAACCCTGCAGTCTGAATCCATCTCTATATCTTCCACTCCACGTCATGCTGCATCCTTTATCTGTGATGTGATTACTCAGAATCTCTTTGATGTCCACCACTTCTCTCCTGATGTTGACCTGTGTAGGAGTCCCCACTACACGACACAGACCAGCAAACACAGACTCTGACAAACGCTGTAGTCCGGACTCACTGGAAGAAATACTTCAGATAGTATATATAAATCTGAGTATAACTACGAATCTACAAAATGTTACTTCAATTCAATGCTCTTTTAAAGTACAATCTGATTTGAGGATCATCAAAGTAGTTATTGTACATCATGTAATTCAAACTATATATGATATCTTTTGTTTGAAGTGATTAGCTTTAAATCAGTTTTATACCAAATGGAATTACATGTATCTCTTATAATATAATTTTAGTTTTATTTATTTATAACAATTTGCATTGTATAGCTTACTTACACTTGTAATGAGAAGTTAGAGGCCATTTCTCAGATGTCTGTACCATTTCCTTGTTCTTCATTTATCTGTAGGATTCACATGATTTTAGTTTCCGTTTGTCAAGTTTCATTATCGAAGAAAAATATTTTAAGACTCTAACCTAAGTCACCTTCATTTTTATTTGCTACAAAGGCTTGACTGCAGCAAAGACAAGGGAGTGGAGGGTATATAAAAACATGCCCATTAAAAATCAGCTGATTGTATTGGTATAGTTGATAAATTATTAATAATTTTAAATTACAGCAAGAGTAGAAAAATGATATATGTTAAGTCAGCATGAAGTAAGTTAATTCATTAGTTGAAGTTTAACTTATATATATGAAACATATTGAGATATCGAACAGTATTCACGATCAAATGTCCATAAAACAATACAAAATAGGAGCAGAGCAAAAATGGACCTCCAAAACATCAGGGGTGGGTTCAGGTGCCATGGAGGAGTGAGTATCCCCTGCCGACCGGTCACACCCCCGTGTGTTCTTTGTCATGATCAGGAAATAACGGAAAACAAATTGTGGAAAATTCTGTGTGTGAATAATGGACTAACAATTTGTATTTTAAAAAATGTCAATCAATATAAGACTCTGAAAAATTGTATTTGCTGACAAGGCCATTGTATCAACCATAGAACTTAAGAAGTGGTGAATGTAAACGAAACTACTGATATTTTTGTTTCATCAACATGTTGTTCACCTCGTTGTAGAAATTGTTCATACGTATAGAGCATGCTCTTACGTATCGAATAAACTGAATAAACTCCGTATGCAGGTGATGAAGGTATATAAATACAATGTGCCCGGTATACAACCAAACTTGGCAGCTAATCTTAGCATATTGCAGACCATTTTGTCAGTCTTACACGTCAGTTTATGGCACCTGTTTTAGAGTATCTGTTGAATAATACAAAAGCAGTTGGTTGAAGGAAAGATGCTGTATGTTTTTTGTAACATTGCAACTTGAAACAGTCTCAGGTGTAAATCTAACAATTTTTCTACTGTTGTTAGACACTCAACGCAACGATTTATGTCTGAATGAGATAATATACGAAACGAAGTTCCCGATCCAATTTAGTTTCTGTGATGAGATTGCATTCATTTACACATATATATTGTCTATGGTTATGGAGGACCTTCATTACATAGGGTCTGATGGTGGGACTGTTGGCATGCTATTTCCTTCTCATATAACTCATACAATCTAGTAAATAAAAGCTTCTGTGCTTCACCATATATGCTACTCAGAAACATATTGTGTTTTCTGGAATGAAAAAATGAGGACAAAACCCCTCGTATGCCCATTTAAGGAGAAGTTTGAAGCAGACCTTAAAACCCTCCAGAAGATTTTGTGGAAAACATTGAGTTATTTTGTTCTGTTGAATCGCCCAGAAAACAGCTGTTTTATGTGGTATGAGCATAGAATTCTATCCTGCACATCAAATTCACTATTGATTACTTCTTTAAGAAAAAGTTTTATAGTAATCCATAGGTTAAAAACTGACAGTGGTTCATTGAAAACAAAAGTTATTGTTCTGCTTCAGTGAAGGAAATTCTCCACTCGTCATCATTGTGATTCCCTAATTTGTGTCCTATCGCTACAAAGTGACATCCTTTTTTTATTATTTCAGCAACAACATTTGGCTGGGGCCAAGAGTGGAATCTTTCTATCCACGAAGAGGCCGAGAAAGGCCAAAAGTCGCATTGAAAACAGACAGCATGATCATACACCATGCTTCAATGGTAGTTCGGTCCAAATGGGCCATGTTCAGTAAAATTTGGCTGGAATACTGAGCACAAATGTTTTCTAAATTTAGAACTGGAAATGTAAAGTTTGTCATTGATTCTAGAACAAGCAATGGAGCTTTCTATTCTGTTTGCTGTTAGATCAACGGATACCTGTAGAAAGTTGATTCCAGGAGGACTTTTTGAACTGTCACATACAATAAGCCATTTTCCCTTTGTTTTATAATTCTCAGCTTGATCTAAGTTCCAAATCACTTTAAACTTCTTTTTCCAGTATACCATATCAAAACCAGATCCTGTCATTTGAAGCCTTCTCTGACTTCCACTACACACAAATGTGAATTCATCATTTATTGCTATTTGTTCCATCAAAGTTTCTGCGATGTCCTTTACTTCTCTAGTAATGGTAACCTGTGTAGGAGTACCCACTTCATGACACAGTCCTGCAAACACCGACTTTGACAACCGTTGCATATCTGACCACTGACAGAATTACACACAGTAAATTGTAAGTCTGTGAAGTTGTGGTGAGCATGCTTGGCACACAAGTTTAAGTGGTTACAGAGAATGGTCATGACATATTGTAAAATTAAGATTCTTACTCTATAAACTTAAGAATTTTCCTTGCACAAGTATAATCATGACTCCTTTCAAAACTTTTGATAAAAGTTTGAATCTTTTGTACTTATTTGCATTTATTTGATTTCCCCATCTAGACAAAGGGCTAAAAAAAGGAATTGTGGCTTGTCGACGGGGGATGCTTACTTCTGCCACCTTTCTTATCCGTAAAGGTAACTCTCTTTAATAGCAATTCTTTTACTTATGTAATACAATATTTAGACTGCTATGTTGAGTATCAACACAAATAATAATCCTAAGTATCAACACAGTAGTAACATCAATTGATATGATATCAATTATAAATTATGATCTTTAGTATTGATACTGTTGTGTTAAACATCAGTTGTGTAACATTTAGTATCAATATAATACTTTGGTTAAAAATTTAATAAAAGACCAAACACAGATTTTGAAAAAGAATACAGATATTTATTCTTTCACTAAACATAACTCATCTTGTACATGTTGTATAAGGACATACTGGATCTATAAATATAAGGTTACTTCTTTGTACAAACAGCACCCAAAACATATTGCTTGTAAGGCTAATAAAAGATTACTTCATTCACATTACAACATTGGATGGTTCTAAATACTTTCACTTAAACCTTTTATATTAAATTCTGGTCAAGTGATTTTATTCTGCTGATCATTAGGACCTGGATTTTCTGTACAAGCAGAGACAAGGGAGACAATGATATATCAAATTACAACCAATAATGAAGTGGAAAAATCAGCTGATTGTATGCTGTAGTTAATTAATCATAAATGAAAGTAAAATATTAACAATGATTGGATAACACTGTAGGAAGTCAATGTCAAGCAGTAATTGAGGTTCAACTTACATAAAATACTTCATTAAACTAGCAAAAAAAAATTAATAATTCTAAATTGAAGCTAAATGTACAATGTAGCTGGTAGACAACTATGAACAATGAAAAAAAAAACAACTAGAACGTGACCCTGGATGAACTTTCTTCTTGAGATCTATTATTGTATAAATGGAAATTTTAGCGAGATGCAAATTTAGCAATTTGTCCTTAAAATTGGGATTTTATTTTTAGCAAGATGTTATTTTAGTGATTTTAAAAAGCTCACTGAAAAAGCTATTACAAATAAAGCACAATTAATTTTTAGCGATATTAAATTTTAGTGATCTTGGCAACCTCGCTAATAATGCCAAAATTAAATCCTCGCTAAAAATTCTGCTTATATGGTATGAAGTATCAAATCAATAATTACAATCCTGTATGTAATCAAAGTGCCGTACAAGGGATATACAAGTATAATGCTGAATAAGCCACAGATTTCTAAAAAAAAGTTGACAAAGACACAACCCTTGGGTATATGCACTTCAAAATACCATAAAAATGTTTGACTTGAATCTGACAAAATATATTTCAGGTATGTAACATCTTCAACACCCATGAGTACAGTTAAATACATTCATGCTGTTCATTGAATATAGAAACTCAAAATGCTATTTTCAAAAGATAATGAGTGAAAGGAGCTAAACAATAAATAATAAACATAATTTGTGTCTATTCAATTTTGCGAGGTTCACATTTATTCTTTCACAACACATGGCACTGTTTATAAATGTATCTAATTTTAACAAAAAAAAATATGTGACACAAAGTCAGGGATAACGCTAACAACAAGTCTAGTGGATTTATAAGCATATCCGTACACTTACAAAAACAACAAACAAAAAGCAGACAGCACTGTTTTACAATTGCAATATTAAACTTGATTCCTAAGTCTATTAGCTACCCTAGAGTTAAGCCTGAGCTATTGGTCTTTCTGACTTTCAAAGTTCTCTGACGTCGGGAATGACATTCCGTCTCCAGGAAGTGGGGACTGTATCCACGGAAACAACCAGCATACGTACCACTTACTACCGAAGATGTGCTTAATGTTCTCTCTCCAGCCTAGATTGTACGTGTATATATTGTGTCGTCTTTCATGCGTAGTCATATTGTAAATTATATGCTTGGAATGCCAGACAATCAAAATAGTTATAATGAACCAGAATAACGTCGCCACCAGCGTGAGCAGACATATAATGGCTGTATAGAAATCCAACATTCCAAACAGTAGTAAAAACAGGGGAAAACAAAAACATAACAGATTGTAAAATGAAAATTCTCCCAGCATGGTCCAGGTGAATCCCATACAGTAGGTGGAAGCGAACATGGCCCCCAGCCAGGTGTAACAGATCAGGCAGATGTAATGGCGATGATTGAAGTAGCCGATGCATTTACCGGTGAACATGCAGTGGTGGTCCCTCTTAAGGATGCAGCGATTACAGGTAGGGCAGTGGTATGAGCGAGGTGGTCCATTGGCCTCACACACCACACAGTAGTGCCAACCTTAAAAAGTAAGAGATAAAATGTTTAATACTTGGCATCATGGAAGCTACAACACAACAAGAAATTGAACCATCTATAAGTTGATAGGTAATCAAAACAAAACGGTGAAGATATTGGGAGTCGAGTAGAAGTAGAATGTGTGAAGATTTAATGTGTGAAGAAGGATTTATCTATATGTAATTGTTGATTAAGGTATTTTATGCAGAAAATTCAAAAAAATTATTTAAAAATTAATTACTGAAAGAAGTTGTTGTCAGTAAATTCACCCATGCATGTAAAGTACTCAAACACAAACAAATCAGTACAAAAACGTGTCGTGTGAGGAGACGTTATTTTATGATGAGTGTTTTTAGACACACTGACAAAAATGGTATTTAATTTTTAAAGAATTTTTTTTGAATTTTCACTCAAGGTATTTTAAATACCCAGCTATATACCTTTTGTGTTGTGTTGATTATGTAATTGTTGAAAGCAGATCTAAGAAGTCATCCAGTGACAACCACCCTATTGATTTCCTGAAAATGGTATAACTAATCACCCAGTAGTTGTTGGTTTTACCTGGTTTTAGAAGTGTCGGTAAAATTTTGCCAATAGTTGATGTGTTCGTGGTCATGATTTTCCACATGTTTCCAATGACATTTATGTACACAAAACCCCCATAGATATTGTACCAAAGTATTTGCAAATCTGTTGTGCCATAATGTTCTTTCATCCATGGCGCGACGACGAAATCGCCCAGAATTATTACATTGTGTATCAGAAGTAAAGCATAGCACAGGGAGGCAGCGTCTACGGCGTTCTTTGGAAGAATGTGTCGGAGGCCGGTCATCTTCAGAAAAGCTGCTTCCCTCTTGCAAACATTACTCTGGGTTATTATAGCCTTGGTAAATCAAAGATAAAATGTGTTACTGACAAACGCAAATACGACTCTGCGATTCACCTTTATTTGCTATTGCGTACGTATAATTGTTCATTAAAAAATATACAGCTATATTAATGATTGTTACAAAGTCTTTCTATATGTAAATAAATTTGATGTGATTTTTCATCCAACATATCAAATCAGCATATTCAATTACTAATTTTTTTTAAGTTAAAATATTTTACAACTTTTAACTAGCGACTTAGCTTTGGAACGAGTTCTTCAGATTATGTAAATAAATATGGCCGCGCTCAGGAGTTTGGGTCAAGGAGTTTTTCGGAATCGAGTTTCATTTAATAATGCACTTAAACAGTGCGATAATTTCAGTGGAAAGAAACTAAAAAATAAACTGTCTTTCTTTGATAAGTGCTTTTCCACGAAAACAAGCCCAAACTACCGAAGTAAATGGAAGTTATGGTCTTGCGTAATCGGAACGGGTGCATTTGGTTCTATCTTTTTGTTTAATAAACAGAAATATATTTTAAATGCAGACTTTCCAGGCCAGTCCATACCTCCAACAAAACAGGTATTGAATTGGACAGGTGTTATATTTTACTTTAAATGGAACGATTGGCATCCCAATGTGGTTAATTCTCACCGAGGAAATTCGAACTAGAATACAAACTTTTAGAAAGGGATAAAAGAATTATTTGCATTATTTTTTCATAGGACTCGTATTATATAATGTTTAAACAGTACTTTGAAGACTGTATCAACACTTCATCAGCATTTGACAAGTTTTACTTTAATGATTTTATGAGTTTTCAATGCATCTTCAATCACGTCAATTGCAGGTCCGATTTGATGAAGACAAAACAAACCTGAAGTTGACCTTGTTCCAGTTTGTCACATGTCCGTTTTGCTGTAAAGTCCGAGCGATGTTGAACTACAATGGGATCTCCCATGATATTGTGGAGGTTAACTCTATAACAAGAAAAGAGATCAAATGGTCCAAGTACAAGAAAGTCCCAATAATCATCATAGACGGAGTCGGAGACGAGGGGTACCTGGTCAGTTCCTTCAAATGTTCACAGTTCTGTTCAGAAGGAGAAAATTCAAATTAAAACATTCTGAGTTTACTTTAAATTCTTTTTAATGCATTTCGTAATTTAATTTTCTTTGAAAACATGTTAGCACAGGCTATTCATAGAAACTTTAATTTAATGAATCATTTAAGCTGCAAATGCAGTAAGAAACAAAATCCATCTGAATGGTTCTGTTCCTTTATCCAAAAACATTAATAGATACATGTATGTTGAATTGACAAGTCAAATTACTTTGAACAATGCTTAGATTTAGAATGAAATTTCATCCGTTTAAAAAATAATCAAAAGAGCTAACTGCTTTCATTATTACACAGATAAGTTATTCATAAACCACCTGATGTTTCAGATGTTCAGCAAGTGAACAATTACACTGTCTTAAATAACTAATTTTTTTAAGAACCACCTTATATATCTGACTTACAGCAAGTGAACGACTCGGCTGTGATAATGAGTTTGCTAGAGAGCCACCTTTTTGACAAATCCATTCCCCTGTGGAAACTTTCCTCATTTTACCCAGTCATCGAGAAAAAAACAGGAGGGCGATTCTTCAGTCGGACCGTCCAGGAATGTCCGAACAAGAACTTTGTGATGTATCAGGAGCACCTGTCTGACAAGAGAACCCCGGAGGAGAGGGCGTGAGTATGGGCCCTGAGGGGCAGAGCTGGCTGTCTTTGTCTCTCTGTTTTATGATGTCCAGATAATCACTGATTGACTGTAGCTTTGTTTCATTATTTCAAACCAAATGTTTTTCAGTTTCAAACCCAAGTGTAAGTTTGTTATTTAATTTGATATAGTATTTTAGCAGTTACACAGTCAGGGGCATACAAATACTGTATAATAGCTATTTTTCTTGGAATCTTATGACTTTTTTTAATAATTGCTTGATGATAAATGATTTTTTTTGGGGGGGGGGGGATAAAGAGTTTACTTTATTACTTATCCAACAAGCAGTATGAAACTATTGGCCAACCTAAGATTAACATGGTAGTATTACTGTCTTACAATGACTGTTTAGTGGAAATTGATTTCTGAATAAGTTACTGTTTGAGAAGACTGATTCAGATTTCTGCCCTTATTTGTATCTACATGTGCAAGACAAAAATTTAGCATTGTAGTTAAATATAAGCAGATGTTGCTTTCCATGAAGTGCTATAAAAATACGCAACTGAACTAATGAGCTAAATGTAATACATTTACAATATAGTACTGGGTCTTCGCAATGTTAAGAAAGATTAAGAATAGCTTTTACATAGTTACTAAAAAAAATTACTGAATTTATTTTTGCCCTTGACTGTTTATAATTTATTTATTTTTATTTATGTATTGTTTTTACTGCATTTGAGCATTACAAGTTGAAGTATCAATGCCTATCAGCTTTGGTTACAGTGGAGAACTTTTTACAGTTGATTTAATTTTGTATGTGAATGTTGAGAGCATGTATTTTCAATTTTAAAGCTTAGCTTATACTGACAATTGCTCCCGAAAACCAACCAAATCAATCTAAAGACAACATATGCTATTTAACAATCTAAGCTCCACAAAACGTGTGAAATCCTGTATTTATTTTGAAAATGTAGTAGAAGAGACTTTCATTATTTGATTTAAAAGAGAAAAAAATTATTACCATTAAAGTTTGAAAAGTTGTTTAATTGAAATATTTCTTTTAAAAAAGTGTATGATTTGTAAAGTTGGTCAGGTTTGGATTAAAAGCATGTTTCAGCTTTTCTTAAAATGTTTAAAATATTAAAAAGATAAAGTTCAGTTTAGGCAGATTGTATTTAATTTATTGTTCCAGCTTTACACTTCCAGAGATCTTGATTTAGATAATTGGTTTTAAGTTATCTATCCTAAGGACTTTTTGTTTTGCCATTGAGTCTCTGCTTACCACTCAATGTTTGCTTTGCAAAATTCAAAAAGCATTTGTTTTTCAGACATCTATATACTGAAAAAGACAATTTGAGTTTTTGCAATTATATTTATTTGTGTTAATTAAAAATTTGAAAACCATATTACAACATGTAAACCAATTATTATTGGCAACAACTTTATTTTTTATAATCGGTTTGAATTCCATCAACAACTGTTTACTTTCACAACTGAGGAAATATTCAACGTAAATTTGGAAAATAATAAAATAAAGGAATGGTTCAAAGGTGAAAAATACTGAGTAAAACATCACAAAACTTTAAGATATTTCTGTCAGGCAAACTATATTTCATTTACAGATTCTCCTCCACTTATAAGCTTTGATAAATATTTAATTGAGGTTTAAAAAAAATTACCCGTGGTAATGCTCAATACCATAATAAGCATCATTAACACTAAACTTAAGTCTTTTACACTTCATTATAATACATGTAACTTGTTTGTTAATCAGTCTTTTCTCTTTTCAGTGATGAGAGAAAGATGAGGACTTGGGTAGACACGGTGTTTGTTCATCTGATCTCCCCCAATGTTTACCGTACCCCCACTGAGGCCCTAGACACATTTAATTGGTTCTCCAAGGCCGGAGATTGGGAAACCAACTTCTCTAACTTCCAGAAAAATACCATCATCTACATAGGAGCCTTTGTAATGTACCTTGTTGGAAAAAAACTGAAAAGGAAGTGAGTTCAAAATTCATGTAGTCACAAACAAATACTTATTTAATTGTATAATGCAGCATAAATAAAGAAAAACACATCTCTAGTTTATCTCAGACAGAGGTTCGAAGAAATTATCATAATTTGCATGTCTTTGTGCATGCATTTGTACATGACTGTTTGTATTTGTACATTTTCAATGTAAGCACTCATTTTTTCTGTAAAACTACTTGAACAACATGAGCCAAATTTGCCGCAGCCAATGGAATTTATGTGAAATTTGTTATGACCTTGTAACTATGGTGATATATGTTTTCATTTCTTGTAACTATGGTGATAATTCTTTGAACAAATATGGTGAACGTTTTACAGGCATAAAATCTTTCTACGAGGGCGGCGACACATGGGTCAGGAATCTCAAGGGGAGAAAATTCATGGGAGGCGATCATCCTGACTTAGCAGACTTGGTACGCAAATTAATTTAAATATATTTTTTTGTTAAAAAAAATTGTATTTGTGTGATTAGGTCTATGATGAAGCTAATCTTTTGTGTAAAATGTAAACATAATGTGAAAAAATAGAAATTTTACAGTAAAGACTTTAAATACATATATATACATTTGTGGTATCTCTCCATTATATAAACATACAGAGAGAAAATATCTTCAATTTGTATGAAGTTTGTGACCTTGACCTAATCACACAATAATATCTACCGGTACATAAATTATATATGCTCTACTTGCTTTTCGTGTATAAAAATGAATAAAATAAGCAAGTGAAATGATAATTATTTTATTTTAAATGTAAACATGTATTTCATAATCTGGGGCTTCGAAACTGTGTACATAATAATAATAATTCTTTTGTCAGCTGCACAGTCTCTAACGTTCATCCTTATTTTTTGGATAGACCTTTGGTTAAATTTTCATGATAAACTTTTATTTTATCTTTAAATTTTACTCACGATAAATGTGTAAATCTGTTGGAAAATATCTTTGCAATCATGCCATGAACAGCTGCCAAACACCTCGGCGTTTTCGTAGTTCAATATGTAGATAATTAGTGTTTTTGATGCCTAGTTACTGAAACCGTGGAATGTTTTTGATCTAACTGCAAATTATTCGGTTACATCGGATCCATCCATCCCTTTCCAGCGACCGAAATTCCTCCAACTTTTTATCCTCAAACTTAGACGTGTTTCTTGTGTCAGCATCGATTATCATTTTTGATAAAATATTCCGACAACAATCTGTTCACTATTCTGATCAAAAGTAGGGCGGCGAAATAGATTCCTTGGCCTAATGTCAGGAACCGCCATGCAAGCCGGGTCATTTTTCAAAATCTACGACGGACGGTTAGGCCATTCAATTGTCTGTCTCAAATGTATATATAGCAGACTTGGTATGCAAATTAATTCAAATATATTTTTTTGTTTAAAAAAAAATTGTATTTGTGTGATTAGGTCTATGATGAAGCTAATTCTTTTGTGTAAAATGTAAACATAAAGTGAAAAAATAGAAATTTTACAGTAAAGACTTTAAATACGTGTACAATAAAATTTTATGTACATGAAGAATACAAGATTGCCTTCTTTTTCAGGAATGATTTTTTTCTTTATTTTTTTCACAGTCTATGTACGGGATGTTAACAGCTATGGAGGGAACAGAAGCATTTAAGGACATGTTGTCTCACACTAAAATCAAGCCGTGGTTTGAGAGAACTAAGAAAGCCGTTAATAACCATGAAGGAGCCCACCGGACCCGAGAATTAAATGTTCCATAGGGAGCCAATCAGAAGTGTTGTTATAGATCCATCAGCCAATCAGAAATGATTTACTTTTCATGAACAAAATGTATCCAAAGACTTTTGAATTATCTGTTTATTTATAAGATTGTATGTTATTTATGGATGTAAATGGACTCAGATAAAGTGGTTATCATTTTATATGAAGTGCTTTGAAACAGAAAAATAATGTTTTGTGATAACTGAGAAAATTACCTTAATAAAGGATAAAAACCTTTAATTATTTTTTTTACTTTTTGCTTAAAGATCCTGGAGTGCAAAGGGACAGAAAGATTTTTGAAATGACACCAGATAAAATTTGTTGATAGCTTGTGAATTCCAAAATAGAAAATTAAGACTTTTTTCCAGATTTTCATCAAAATAGAAAATTCGAATTATTTTAATTTTCAGATTTTAAAGTCTTTGTTTTTTATTATTAGAGATACTCCCCTAATATTAACTTTGAATTTACTGGTTATCTAACGTCAAAACAACTCCTTTTGTTTACATAATAGGTGAGTTGCCAGAATAGTTTTTATCTCGTTTTCCTTTTTTTTACTTTATTCTTTGCTTCATGGTGCAAGACTTACAAAATGAAATATTTCTAATATTTTTTCATCAAAGAGGATTATGTTAAGATATGCTTACCTCCCTTTACAGTATAGACCACAGATACAGGTGTAATTTCCTACATATGTACATTTAGCAGTAAAATGATGAAAATGTGTAAATGTAGTCATTAGAGTACATGTACTAATGTGAGTTCTTGCTTGTATTGCAAAAATGGTGCCATTGTAGTTAGTCCTGTTTCCTTGTTAAAGAAAAAAATTACCAGAAACAAAATTACTATTGAAAAGAAACAAATTTTGCCAACCAAAAATCAATACGATGGCATATTTATGCCATCCACATAATTTTTTCTCAACATAGCATATCATGTCAAATCAAGATAACTATCTCGTCATGTCATGATAACTTTCTGGTTTGTCGACAAACATCGATTTTATATCTTGTCTAGTCATGATAAGCTATCAAAAAATGTCAATATCATAGATATATTGTATACGTTTTAGAGGGTACATTTTGAAGGGAAAGGGAAGATGTAGCAAACTTTCCTAAGGGAAGAAGATTGTAAGTTGGATAAATTTCAGGAAAAAGCCACCCTCCCCCCAAATTGTTTAAAAATCTGTTTTTTGTTTTAGTGAATGAGTGAAAGAGAGGCTGGGATGGGTGGGGGTTACATAAGCTTGATAAGGAATACCTGTATAAGATTATGTACAGACTAACATTTAAACATTTAAAAAAATCTTTGGAGATGTCCATTAGGAGTATTTTTATCAACCTCTGTAGTGGAACGATGATTAATGAGAAACAAGGAGGAGAGACTGTTAGGTTAACACCCTGTTAGATCCATCATTATGTAAAGATGAGCAAAAGTAATAAAGATCTTAATCCAAAGAAAGCGAATTTGAGACGCCTTTAATGAAACAAAATATCAATAAAATATGTTTCGTGTAAAGATAAACACTCATAAAGTGACAAGCTGTCGCACACAATCAGTGATGGGGAGTAGCGGACAAGTTTGTATTTACACTTAGACAGCTGTTTACAAAGAGCAGATTCTAATCAGAAAACTTTTTTTCATTTCATCATAGTTTTATTATACATGTACTTTTGCTTGAGATTTACTTAAACATTGCTGCACTGGGAGGAGTTATCTCATTTGTTGTTAAGTTTAAATAGAGTTATCCTTCTTTTACAAATACACTGTAGAATGTACCGTGTGATCTGATTTATAAATGAAACCAAGGGCTCACTTAAAAAATTATCAGGATACAGATTTTAAATAAGCATAAGCCTAGGAGGTCAAAAGATTCATTACAAGCATATTGATTGTCTTGACTCTTCCATTTTACAAACGAATATCAAAATTCCAGAAGGAAGACACCACTGAGTCTGCAACATCGTGTTTACTATTGGTGGCAAGCTGACAAGTAAACCTTTTGCATCGCCAACTTTCCTTTATACAAGTTGTAACATCAGCTATCACAGTTCTTTACGACTCCCTACTTATCACCAAAGAAATATGAAGATAATCAATAGTAATCAAGCTCGAAAGCCTACTGAAATCAAACTAATCGGAAGCATTGTAAACAGGGACCTCTAAAATCATCAGTGGTGGGATCAAGTGCACCGGGGGACTTTGTTTGAAAAATGTTAATCAACATTCTACTTAATGATAGATTGTACGTGCTGACAAGATCATTGTATGGACTAAAATATTGCAAAATGTTTCTTCAAACAGGACTGTGCATATCCATCTTAACCAACTTATTTCTCAATGCTTGCTTTGTTTCAGAACTTGTATTTGAGTATATATATATGCTCGTACTCTGAGTGCAGTCAATTTTTCTTAATCAAGACATATAAGTTGATGTTACAGGAATCTTTTAATATCAAATATAACATATTGGGTCGTATTTTGGCTGAGGTGTTTAAACAGCAATAGTAAGAACTCCTTGTTTTATACTTCGCAATGTTTCGATTACTGTATGCAGCTGAACATATATAATTTTGGAGTTTATTGTTTTCTAGTGGATATGATTCACAAGAACAATATTGCTTTATGAGGAATTTCAAAAACGTGACTAGCTATTGACAAATTAGTTGGTAATACAAGGATATCAGTAATCTTATTTAAATTCTACTAATTTTACAGTCGATACAATGACTTTGATATTCCATTGCCGGCGGATTACTCCGTTTACACGATGTGTTCAGAAGCTCACGATAGGTATGACTGGTTGAAAGGGGGTACTTGCTCTTCCATGGCACCTGATCTTACCTGCGTTTTCAAGAGTCTTTAGGGCTCAGCTCATTTTATATCGTTTAAATGGACTTTTTATAGTGCACGATCGCTGTTCGACATCTTCACATTTTAAGCATAGTGAATTTAGGAAAGTACTTTAAATCTGTTTGTTTGTTTTATTTTAATAATTTAAAGAGCATGCATGTTTATTTTTTTTTTAAATAAAGACTCTTTTTGCTTCATAATGGCTATAGATTATTCCAAACAGTCTAAACATTTGCTTTATTGTTGCACGGTATCCATTTTTTAATAATGGTTAAATATTCTGTTGAGACAAAATGTTGGAATGGTCGCGATCGTTACAGTTGTTTTATAACGAAAGACCTGATGTGACCTTCAACCAAAATGCGGTTGGTTCACAGTTTGAGAGCGATGACACGAACTATAAATGACAGTTCATGAGACATGGGGTTCCATCGCTGCAGAATGATACCCCAGATTGATATGAATATTGAGCTATTCAATCCCTCCACACTCAGTAAAGGATTTAAGGCTTATCATTTAACATTTTAAAAAACATTATAAAATGTACAACCACTTCAAATCGGGAAGGGGCGTGTCTCTTCATTGTAAGATACATCTCTTTTTCCAGCCCGGTAGTTTGTTAAAGTCCAAAATAAAAGAGCCCACTATAATTAACCTCTGAAAGCCGAGCGTACCCCTAGTTCTTAAATTAGAACATGGCACATTTACGGATACATTTACAAATGCTTGTCTGTTCTTGTTTTTTTTTTTTTTTTTTTGGACAGTGTGTAACAACTGTCAATTTGGAAGTTAAAGATCCCTTCGTAGTGTTAGCCTCAAACTCGGGGAGGGGGGAGGGGGGGGGGTCTCCGGACTCCAGGATCAGAAAATCCGTAAAATAGTCATCAACCGTGAAATGAATGTATAACTTTGTAGTTTTCAACAAATCTTATAATATTTTGAAACTGTTTCAGCACATACAGATTTTGACTTCCAGATTTTTATGGTCCTGAAGCCTGGTAACCTGGTAAAAAAAAGTCCAGCAAAAAAAAAGTCAGATAATGATATCCAAAGATCAGATAAATTGTGTACATACTTTTTACATGGAATGTAGATGAGGACCGAGAACATCTCTGAAATCTTGTAAACAATACGAAACGTGAACAGGGAAAAATGGAGACACTCTGGAAACTCCAACAAACAGAAGGCAGAAGTAGAAAGATTCCCTGGGGTTTAACCCTCGATCCATGAACCTTCTTATTGAGGTGGGATCAGGCGCCTAGAAAAAGAGGATCCCCTCTAGGCTGATCAGATCCGTCATGAACCCTTAATTTTTATTGTTATTGGATTAGGAGCCTAGGAATGTAAAACATTCCCTGTATAACAGTCATGTCCGCCATGAACCCTTTTAACTGTGGAGGGATTAGGTGCTTAGGAAGAGTAAGCTTCCCTTGTATACAAGGCACACTCACTATGGACCCCTTCTGTTGAGGAGGGATCAGATGCCTGGAAAAAGCATCCCCTGAAAACCGGTTACACCCGCCACGAACCCTTTTTGTCAAAAGAGGTGGGATCAGGTACCTCAGAAGAGTAAGCATCCCCTGAAAACCGGTTACACCCGCCACGAACCCTTTTTGTCAAAAGAGGTGGGATCAGGTACCTCAGAAGAGTAAGCTTCCCTCGTAGACCGGTCAAACATCTTCATCTTTAGTAAGCTTCCCTCGTAGACCGGTCAAACATCTACAGTTTCCCTCGTAGACCGGTCAAACATCTACATCTTCCCTCGTAGACCGGTCAAACATCTACAGCTTCCCTAGTAGACCGGTCAAACATCTACAGCTTCCCTAGTAGACCGGTCAAACATCTACATTTTTAGTAAGCTTTCCTCGTAGACCGGTCAAACATCTTCATCTTTAGTAAGCTTCCCTAGTAGACCGGTCAAACATCTACATTTTTAGTAAGCTTTCCTCGTAGACCGGTCAAACATATACATCTTTAGTAAGCTTCTCGCGTAGACCGGTCAAACATCTACAGTTTCCCTCGTAGACCGGTCAAACATCTACAGCTTCCCTCGTAGACCGGTCAAACATTTTTAGTAAGCTACAGCTTCCCTAGTAGACCGGTCAAACATCTTATCATTTTTAGTAAGCTTTCCTCGTAGACCGGTCAAACATCTTCATCTTTAGTAAGCTTCCCTAGTAGACCGGTCAAACATCTACATTTTTAGTAAGCTTTCCTCGTAGACCGGTCTAACATCTAGAGCTTCCCTCGTAGACCGGTCAAACATCTAGAGCTTCCCTCGTAGACCGGTCAAACATCTACAGCTTCCCTTGTAGACCGGTCAAACATCTACATCTTTAGTAAGCTTTCCTCGTAGACCGGTCAAACATCTACATCTTTAGTAAGCTTTCCTCGTAGACCGGTCAAACATCTACATCTTTTTTTTGACAAAGGTAATTAATGCTCATCTTAAAACTTAAATAACTGTGCACTATTAAAGCAAAAGCTTGATGTAAATTTTATTTCAGAATATTAATTGAACAGCCTTTCACAACTATTTATAACTTCAAAGGGATTTGAATAACTAAATATGGAAAAAAAAGTATAATGTTCATGAAAAGAAATACATCCTTCCCTTATAAAATCATTTAACGACCTAAAGAAGTTGTAAATTAATCATGTACATTTAAGTCATGAATTCAAATGTTCAAAGTGTTTTTCTGGCACGTTTTTTATAGTCCGATAGTAAACGAATTCAGACATTGTGATCCTCCTTATTTAAACATTTTAAAACCCACTTTTATGGTTTTTACGGGGTTTGCTTTGGGAATATCGACATAATAGAGCACATAGAAAGCAAATAAACTAAGGAAGACTTATTTTTATAACGAGCTTTATGACTCTCTGAAATTTTTATAAAGGGCAATGGTTGTCAGGGAAGGACAAGGCGGCCAAAATAAAGCAACGTAACAGAAATCTGTATGATTGAATTTATGAATAGAAATTAACGGAACTCATGGAATTTTTACAAATTAAAGGTGCTCAGGGGAAATTAACATATATCATTCGTTACATTAAAAAAAAAACATGAATATTAACGCAATGCAATATTTCTGAAAGATTGACTGATATTTATTTTTGAATATTACAGTGCAATAAAAGTACTTGGTAGGATTATCTGCTAAATACTTTTTTTTTATTAAAAGGTTAGCTGTGTTGGTATTTTGACTGGTCTGTAGGATTAAATACTAAATACTAATCTCTATGACGTCTTAGGTATTCATGGATAATGACAAGATCGCCGAAATTATAAAGTAAGAAATTTCTTTTTCTTGATCAATTCAAGAGCATTATGGATTTAAGTACATGATGTTGTTTAATTATTTTGGCTGCAAATATATTGGACCAGCTGGTAGTAATATTTGTCGTTTTTTTACCTTATCTAGTGGGATGGGGAAATAAAGTATAAATTCAAACATCCATTTTATTTTATTCAATTCATAAAATTCAGTCTATATTAAAAGTGTTAAATGCTGCAAGACACAAAAAACGTGTTCAGATTCGCACAGCAATAAATCAACACCTTCTTAAATAAAAAATAAATAAATAAATATCTCAGAAAATACACAGTTATTGCATAGTGAACTCTTCACTAACAGTCACATACACACAGACAAATTGCATTGAGTTGCATCGTTTTGTTGTAGATAAATGACTGATTTAAATAATGATTAGCACGAGTAGCACGACATCTAAAGATCAGGAATGGCGGAAGGCCGTGTAGCGCTTTAAGCAGAAGTCTACACGACTGTCCTTTATAAATTTCCTTATGGTTTCATAACTTGGAACCGGACATTCAAACTCATTTTTAACTCCTCCACGTTCATCTTTTTCAAAGAAATAGAAAACCGGAAACCACACTTTCATCCGCTTCCGGTTGCGGCGCATCAGGTAAAGATTGTGTGCGAAAGTGTGGTAGTACATGAAGATTCGTGATGATATGTAGAATGCCACCACCACATCGAGTGTGTAATGTCCGTGTGAGGCCAGAATCGCCCACATTCCACAGAAACAGTACAGCCATAGCGCCACGTGGAGCAGACGATAGCGCTTAGGAGTGTCTGAAATCAAGACCAGAAATGAAAATTACATGTTTATCTTATCAAAAATAAGAAGGCTTTTTTCGAACTGTGGAACACAAAAGTATCTTTTTCAACTGAAAAATTATTGAGATTTACAGAAGAATATCATGTCATGTACTGTATTGTCAGCCACGACTAATTAACCTAGAAAACTAAGACCAAACCATCGCTTGTGTCTGATACTGCATGTTCACGTCCGAGTACCAAGTCCAGTAGATACAAGCACTGGTAGATGTCACATTAAAAGACCCGATTTAGCATTTAATAACCATTTACATTACTTTCAAACAATTTTTGCCATTAGATTAGCACCTGTCACTTATGTTTCAAAATAAAAAAAACAGTATGGCGACTTACATTCGATGGCAGTGAGTGTTGCTATGGTGATGGTGATGGTGTGGCCGCTGAACATGTAGTCCCCGCAGGTCTTCATTCCCCCCATCTTCATCCCCATCCCCGAATACACCACCATGATCCTCTTCATCTTACTCCAGGAGTCCGCAAACACCTGTCAAAAAGCCACACAGGTTATAAATCTGATAGAGCGTAGTCCTTCTCCGGGATTTAGGTCTGACAAGGAGTGGTGGTACAGTAGAACCTGTTTAGTCTGGACACGAATAACTCCATAGAAATTGGTCAGATTAGACAACATTCCGAATTAGACAACATTATTAAACAATTGAATTTTCTGAAAGGATCGAATTTTGAAATTATCAATATGGAAAAAAGGCAAGACTTTGTCATACAACACATCAAGATTATAGACATGTTTTACTTATTTGACTTTTATTTTGATAACCTTTTGAAGGTACAGAAAACATGTATACAAGTGAGTTCATGTGAATATTTAATGACTTTTTTCGGAGGGTGGGGGATGGGGTGGGGGTGGGGGGTTAGAATTTATGTGTATTATATCTTATGATTTTTTCGGGGGTGGGGGGGGGTTGAAGGCTTACCATTCTATCACAGTTGTAATGCTGTTCTGGCATAGGTAGGTTGGTCACTGACACACAGACACATCTTAAGAGGTAAATACTGCCAGCGATGACTAGAGTTCGGCGGAGGATGATCAACCTACAACACATAACATTATGAATTCTTAAAAGCCAGTGACAGATAAATAATTAACACGTCATCACTCATAGGCACATCTTATGAGGCAAATATTAGAGTTTAACAAAGGATGAGAAGTTAATATCAGATATGATAAAATTTAAAATGATAGCTCTGCAGCTAATAATAAGATATGTAGCTGATCAAGCCTCCATCGTGAACTAAAAAAAACATCATATCGGTCCAATACCTCTTTGACAGATCCAACATCTCACTTAACGGGTCAATATTTTAATATAGATCGCTCAATAAAGCTTTGTAACATGTGTAAGACTTCTATTCCAATGATATTTTTCTGTTGAATATGTACAGTAACAAACTATAGTCTATATTCAATACCGAAAGAGTCTAATTAAAGTGTATTGCATTTCATGTATGGTACAAATAGCACCGCAATTATGCAGCTGTATACATGACAAAATTACGATTTAACATGCGTTAGTGTAATTTATACATTTTAAAAACTGTTTGTCATGAATAATTGAAATAAGTAATATTTTACAAAGTTATCCAATGAAAATGGCAAGCAATAAAAAAAATCACTCAATTATAATTCTGGTCACATTATCCTGATACCTCCTACATCTATTTATTTCAAAGTTGTTAATTAAATTGATGACAGGAAATGCCCATTATTATTCTGATTGAGAGCATTTACACCAATATTGAAGGACTGCAGTTCTATAAAGTCATATGCAGGTTATTGACCAGACGCGTGTATAAACTAAATAATATCCGTCATATCGTGCTCTCAACTCGTCACCTGACAAAATCGAGCATTTAAATAAAATCGATGACAAAAAATTATTTTACTGTAGGTTCTAAAGCTTTCTAAAATAGCCCCTGAATTCCCTAGTTTGTTTGGTAAATAGAGTTTATAGCTTTGTATCAAGTCGTGCAGCGAAGGTACTCAGATAAAACTACGTGTATTAATAGTCTGAATAACTGACAGAAAACATGCACCGATCAATAGTGATTAAAAAAAAATACGAAAATAATACAATAGAGCTCAGTGATCATTCATTTTCTATTAACTCTTAGGATTTGACCTCTAACGAAGTAAACGTATAACTTGACAGGCATTACAAGTCTAATTGGTATCCCATGCATAATTTTATCGTAATTATACCCCTCGCCTCTATTAATTTTTGATGATAAAAAAATTATTATAGATCTACAAAAATGTTATTATCTCCCAAATAAATCAGATTTTTTTTAAATTATGATGGTTGCTGCAATTTCAATAATTTTTCTTTAAATTCGGATCAGTTTGGACATTGTCTCCGCACTCCTGAGGATCCCAATTAAAGCTTTTATCGATCTCCACTAAGTTCACTCAGGAATGGATTGAGAAATAGTTACAGATTTTAACCCCATATATAACGGTCAAGCTTTTTGTTCTAAATTATAATCCCTGCTTTCACTCGACTTTCATAATCATTTTAAACTACCCTCATCTGTTAAATCGGGGACACCTCGGGACATTAATGCAATATCAAGCCAGTCCTTGTAAACCGTGACAGTGCAAGCGGCTTAAAGCTGTAAGGCTATTTCAAAACAATAAAAATTCCTTCATTATAATTAAATATGTGGGATTTATGTTCGGGCAGCTATAATGGATGATAGAAGAAAAAACACATTTCAAATAAAATATTTTTGTGGTAAAAAGGTTAAACATTAAAAAATTATTCGTGCTTAAACATTGTACGCCTTGTCTTTATCATATCGTATAGACAGATTTTTACTACATATACGCAGGATTATTTATAAAGCATATTTATTTAAGATGATAAATGTATCTTTCCTGAACCTAATAAGGTTACGATATGAAAATTAAATTAAATATGTGTAGATAGGCAGGCTTAACATCATGAAGTTAAATCAAATACAAATCACACTCTATCTAGCGCTACTGGCATCCAAAAGGATCTTTACCACGAAAATTGTCAAAACATACACATCTTTTTAGCCTTAGAATCGTCAGGACTGAAAACCTAGGCTTAGTGGATTGAAAAAAATCTTTCAAAAATCATTAGAAATTTAAAAACATAACGATTATTAAAGACGGTGGATATTTTCTGTATAGCATTATAGAAGTGGAAAACCACGAAGGTCTTTCTCGATCAGCAACTTTATATAAACCATCCATTTAAGCGAAAATAAAATCGATTATAAAGAAATGTTTTGTGTTGACTTATTGACAAAATAGGGAAAAGAAATTGATTTATTTTATTTTACGCCCGAGTTTCTACCTTCAAAGCCAGTAATAGTTAGCTGTTCAAGAAGGCCTCCTGAATTAATGAAAAAGAAATGGCGCTGACTTTTTCACCGTCTAAAAAATGAATAACTTTTGATTGGTTGGGTCTATGGCTTTAATATTTCGACATTGTATTCTTTGTGACAAGACTTTTCTTGAAGTATGAATATACATCATTGTCACATGTACTTTATCGCTTGACCTTGAAGATTTACACTCTTTTGTAAAAAAAAAAATATAAAAATTTTAACCCTGGCTATAATTGTTGAAGAGTTGGTGCTAGGGCTTTTATACTTCATAAGTTATTCATTGTTATAAGACATTTTCTTGGATATAAATATTCTTTACCTTTTGACCTTGATCTTTTCTGATCAATTTTGAAAAAAAAACTTTAACCTTTGCCTTCACTCTGAACAATGAGTACAGGGACTTCTTTTTATTTCACAGGTGCATTCATTGTGATGGTTACCACCATTGATCATTTTACCTTGACCGTGGAGTTAAAAATTGACCCACGTGAAAAAAGAAACATTAAACTTGCTAATAACTTTTGAACGATTGTTTCTTAGGCTTTCATTTTCACCGATATATTCATTGATATAGACCTTGACGTTTAACTTGCATTTGAGAAACTTTAACCGCTAATGATTGCCATACGGGGGCACTAGTGTTTCAGAAACACATCTTGTTCTTTTTTCAAATATAAAATATTAAAAATTCCTAGATACTTCTTCTAGCATGACCTTTAATTTTCATTGGCGCGTTAACCTTGCACAAGATATAATATTTTTCGCATGTGATTACCTGCTACAGCGTAGAAATTGAAACTGAACTACAATAGAAGTTGAAAAAGAAAACCGATGTTTCCATTACCTGCTCTTATGGAAGACGAAAATGATCAGGAGTAGGATAACAAGACTGAGTATGACGCTCTCTGAGACTTTGTAGGCCCAGGGAATGACGGCGAAATTGTCCAGATAAATGTCAGGAAGAGGGGGGTATTTCTTTTTATCCGGCAACTTTTCCTGAGCATTCACAATGGCGACCGAAGTCAAAAAGTGGCTCAGAGTGCCATAAAGAACGGCGAACAAGGCTTTACGTAGATCTGAGCGGAAATGTCTGTAATAAACAGTATTCTGATTGTCGTCTGTTTTACTCAGGAGCTCTCTGTCGCTGTCAAAACTATTCTCCGAGTCCTCCATATCGAACACTTCGTAATCCCTGTAAGCTATGAGTTTTGGAAACTGAGTACTGTCTTTCTTCAGTTGTTGAACACTTTCATTAAGTTTTTCTACATCACTAGGTTCTGTAATGTTTAGCGGATCTCTCCCCATTGCTTCCTTCGTCAGGTCAAGCAAAGCGTCTCCGTCAATTTTACCGTCCTCGAACACTTGGCGGTATTTCTGGAAGCCGGTGTCTGTCAACCACTGCCCCACCCTGGCGTAGCTCCAATGGCGTGGAGACCCCTCCATCTCACTGAAATAAACCAGAAACTCAGTCATTTCTTATCTGTATTTTATTTCCCTGTCTCTGTAAATGATTGGATCAAGTGGATTCGAACCAGTAACCAGAGCAGCACTGGTCACTTCCACTTCCACTGAAGATCGGCAGCTAACTGCTATTTTATGATTACCAGTGAGCTACAGATCTGCAGCTGCTACCAGTTAACACAGACGATTCAAAAGGCGGCAAACAAAATACAGACAGGATTAGGTCAACCCATTTAATTCTGAACTTTTCATAATGTATGTGTTTAAATTCTTATGGCAAGAATACTAGACAAAAATCAAACATAAGAGAAAACTCGAAAGAATGGAAGAATTGATCGCATTTAAATCAGAACCAATTCTGTTTTTTCACCCAAGCACAAAAGGATCCTGCTATATTCTCACTTTAAAAGCATAGTTCGTTTAGTTAAAGCTTTAAATGATTTTTAGAATCTATAAGCTATGAAAATATTCCTGAGCTTAGCGCGATTACAGAAGAGTATCTAAAAAAGAATGCAATTCTACGAAGGACACATAGAATACCTAGCGCCCAGACTGGAGTATTATTCGTTTATTTCAATATCTGTCATATAATAATTATCAATAAACATTAAATTAAAAAAAAATAAATAAATAACAAGCTATTAAACTTATATTTCTTCTTACGATGTTAAATAAAATTTAAAATAAATAGGAAAAAAACAACACAGAAAATAAATTTAATTAACATTAGTAGCATTTCTTTCGCAACATGCCTACCTTCAGCTACCGTGTTTTGCAATCAACGACATCAATTTAGCGATTTTTAAAGGGAAACTATGGAACGCCGTCACTGCCTTATAGCAGAACACTACTATTGCATTGTGTCAACCTTCCATTACATTATGTCAACTCTTTATGACATTAACCCACTCTACTATTGCATTGTGCCAACCTTCCATTACATTATGTCAACTCTTTATGACATTAACCCACACTACTATTGCATCGTGTTAACTTTCCTTTACATTATATCAACTCTTTATGACATTTACACATACTACAATTTTATTTCGTCAACTTGCATTTCGTTATGTTTACTTTTCATGACAATCTTAGTTTTTATTAACTGATGTGAAAAGCTCATGCCATACTGTGCGCACTCTTCTACATTATGTCGATTCACTATTACGTTAATGCGAACGCGGGTATCCTCGGCCTTTATATGAGCATAACGTATTTTCCGCGTTCCGCAAGCACTAAAATGGCGGGAGAGAAAACTGTCGTAGAAGAGATTCTCAGCGATTTCGGAATGACATCTGTAAATGAAAACTTTAAGCGACAAATGATTGACAATCTTGAAACATGCAAAGCCTTAACACTGCGAATGTGAATTAAAGTCACGTCGAAATTCAATGGTGTTTACTTTAATCTGATAATTAAATAAATCAAATATTATGAGTCGTGCAGCAATCATTTTTTTCTTTTTATTTTGAATTGTTTTTTTTTTTTAATAAAATTCTTAAACTTTGTAGGACATTGCATTAGTTTCACATTAAGTTTAGCTGAATTAAGTTGAAAACTTTTTTCTATAAAACTATAAAGCCTGAGAGCTTCTCCGCTTTCCGCCATGGTCTCCAACCATATACCGCCCCCCTTCCTTGTTCAAGATTCCCATATCTGCCACTGATATGTGCCCATGCATGCTTACTAAGGCATATTCAATTGATTTAGATGAGCGACTGGTAGATTTTTGTAATAGAATTCTGGCCCTGGAATGATAAAAAAAATTACTAACTCCAGTGACGTAGCATCATTTTTTTGAAAGAGGAGGTCAGCCAGTAAAAAAAATCATTTATCCGAAAAAACTAGACAAGCCAAGAAAAAAATGTCCAAGCCCGAAAATCCTATTTCGGGGAGAGTGGTCCAACTTCAATCAGTCCTATTTTTTTACCAGATATATTACACACTGCCTAACGCGTTATCGGATACTCGGTTGTTATCGGACACTCGGTGCAAGAAAATCTATGTTTAGAAAATGTAGGTAATTTTAAATTTCATATTTCAACGATAAATATGTATTTCTGCAAACAAAGTTTGTGATCTATGACAGATAATTTATTATACTTTCAGCAGCAGAAAGCACAAACCAAATCACTTTCTTTCAAAAGATCTACAGCTCTTTCAAATGATATTTTACAAAAATTTCGGAATATGTCATCACATTTTTACTTCTGTAGAATTAAAAATTAGTTTATTCTATCAAACAAACTAATCTATTTATTATATGGACAATCAGATACCTTTAGATCAGCAAACTGTGATGATAAATCCAAATTAAGGGTTAGTAAGCAGTCTTTTAAAATGTCTCGTTAGTTGAAAACATGTTATCGGCAACACGGTTGATGTTGCCGGATACTTCGGTTTTTGACGGGTGTATGTTATCGGAAACCCAGGTTTCCTTTAGCTTCATTAATGTATTGGAAAAAGTCCATTATAATCTGCCAATCCTTGAAAATAGCAAAAGTAAAAGTTTGCTTTGATATGAATGTATATAGATAAAATTAATAATTACATGTATAAATTTATAATAGAACTACTCACCTGTTCAATCATTTTTCTTGTTTTCCATTCAAGATAATCTCTTGATAACCGCTTCAGGCGGTTTCAGACGTAAATATAATATGTTTAATTAATCATAACAATTTTGCTTTAGACTTCCCATATACCAGATGCATGAACAAAAAGATATATAAATCAATTTCCAAACGCTAAAAATACCTACTAGTATTTAGGAGGAAAGGATTCAGTATGTTTAGCTTACAAACAGTTATGCGTTTTCAATTACAATGTGTGTAGCAATGCAAAATCTATGTCAGCCACACACCCCTCCAAGCATTTAGCTTTGTCTATCTACACAATGAATTTGAGCACACTGCAGGATATGACCGTTCTTCAGGGGGTTCCTATTCCATGTATAAACAACCTCCTGTGTTTTAGAGATCCATATGTTTTTATAGTCAACCTCTGTTATCACAATTTTGAATTCTATGTCATATATTTTGGTCTATCCACCTATTTTTCCTAACCACCCTTGTTTAAATTCTTTAATTGCTTTACATGTATATACCAAACTTATAAATGTTTTCGTGTTCTAAATGTTGTGAAGATTTAAAAGTTCCTTCGCCATGCGCTCAGCACCTTGATTGTATGTTGTTTGACAAAATTTGTTATATACTCAGCTTTTAAAACTGTGGGATACGAACCCGCGACGTAAGGATCGACTCCTTTAGAGCACTTTAACACTTTAACTACTGCGCCACGCGGGCGGCCTCGGTATTGAAATTAAATATTTAAAACGTATACCATATTTTCGAACAGGTCAAGATCATGCAAAATTCAGTGAGAAATGCCAAAAATGCACTCATTTTTTAAAAGTTATAAATTCTTAAAACAGGCAAGTTATAGCCAAAAATTAGAAATTCGTGCCAGCCCCTTTAAATATTTAGGTTTCATACGGATTTCTGTCGTTTCTTTGTGCTTTTACCTAATCTATGACAACCTTTGTTTCCGATAACCAAAACCGAGTTATCCGATAACAAAGTGCATTTTTCAACCGCATTTCCGATAACATACTGAAAGTTAGAATTGGACAATTTTTGCTCTTCATTTACATATTCGCAGGATTTGTGGAAGTGTGTTCAAAACGCAAGATAAATATAAGGATTTTGAAGAAAAAAGCTATTTACAACAATGCCAATCGGAGAAAAATGCAAAATATAACAAATTTGACTTTTAAAGCCTTCTAAAGGCTAACAAATGCTATACTAATGCGTATCGAGGCTTTATTTTGTATCCGTATTCATTTCTGTTTACAAAAAGCACAATGAATATTCTCTGTTTCTATTTTAACAGAGTTTATTTAAAATAATTTACTAACCTGTCAAAAATTGATATCAACCGAGTGTCCGATAACAACCGAGTAGCCGATAACGCGTTGAGCAGTGTGTATTATATTACCCTTAGTGGACTATATTATAACAAGAAGTGGGGGTGGGGGGGCTGTACAGTTTCAATGAACATTACATTTTCTATATAAAGTTATGTCTGGAAAAGAGGGGGGTTGATATTATGTGGCTGTAATTTGTCCTAATCAATCACGACCCCCCCCCCCTTCTTACCAGTCATTAAAACACGGTCGTCAAAATTTATTATATACTAGATATACAGCTTTGAGATAATGTAAATGTATTTTTGCATCAGGTAATGAACTTGGAATCCACATGATAAAGAGTTAACACAATATAAAGATATTTTTAAAACACATAAGAAAGAGTTGGCATAACGTTATAATATATCCACATCACGGTATTGAGTTTTGACATAATGTAATAAAGTGTTGATATAATATAAAGATATGTTCATATTATGTTATACACTTTTTACACCACGTAATAAAGCACTGACATAAAGGTAAGATGTGTTCACCTCACATCATGATGCCCTCGCCGTAAAATAAAGATTAATCCATATCACGTAATAATACTTTGATATAATAGAAATACACACTCTCAAAAAGGAATGGGCTTTTGACTTCATGTGATGATAAGTTTAATTATAAAACACAATTTACTTGACGTAATGCAATTTTGACCTCACATATTAAAGAAATGAAATGATGTAAAGAAACAATCATTTCACGTAATAAAGTTTTAACACAATGTAAACACATTATCACTTCACATAATGAATTTTTTACTTCAAGTTACGAAGTGCTGACATAATGAAAGGATGTATTTACTTCATGTAATGCAGCATTGACATGATGTTAAGATATATTTTCATCATCCCATAAAAAATGGACATAACGTAAAGATATGTTCACATCACGTAATGATAAATTGACGTAATAAATGCATAGTTGTATGGCAGTGATGGCGTTCCATAGGAAACCTACGCGTGACATCTATAGCTGTTTCGGGCTGAACTGTTTATAGCTGAACTTGACAA